AAAGGTCAATAAAGTGGAGTCCTCTTCCAGAAAGAAGCTATAGGAACCTATTGTTTACTGCATGGTGACCAAAAAGGACACAAGACTTTGCTATGAGCTGTAGAGAAATAAAAAGACATGGAGGTTAATGAACACACTGAAAGCACTTGGTTGTGACCTGCAGAAACAATAGAAGCTTCTGATTATGAGTGACAATATTTTTTTCTTTCTTATTGTAGTTAAAAGAATGGGGCATCTCAGAACTGCTGGCATCTTAATTAATTAATTAGTATATTAATTAATTAATTAGTATCAGGCAATCCTCAGGCTCAGTGATGTCACTATGGGAACTGCCTGTGCATACAGGGAAGTCCCTCCTCCTCTGCTCATTCTCACAAGGAACCTGACCTGGTGAACCACCCATTCCTGTCCTGACCCTGCCATGGGCACCAGGCTCCTCTGCTGGGTAAGCTTCTGTCTCCTGGGGGCAGGTGAGTCCTCAGAAAACCACTTTCATTGTGTGTGTGTGTGTGTGTGTGTGTGTGTGTGTCTGTGTGATGATTACAATTATTTGTCCTTATTCTATTTCCAAATCTGTCTCCACAGGTCACACAGATGCTGGAGTGTCCCAGTCCCACAGGCATATAGTCACAGAGAGAGGACAGAATGTTACTCTCAGGTGTGATCCAATTTCTGGACACAGCTTCCTTTACTGGTACCGACAGATGTTGGGGCAGGGCCCGGAGTTTTTGCTTTACTTTCAGAACAAGAATCCCCTAGACACATCAGGGATTCCTAACAAGCGGTTCTTTGCTGAGAGGCCTGATGGCTCCTACTCCACTCTGACAATCCAGCGTGCAGAGCAGGGGGACTCGGCCGTGTACTTCTGTGCCAGCAGCTTAACCACAGCGCTGCAGAGTCACCCTCTTCCTGCTCTCAAACCCTCATGCACTCACCTCTCTTCAGAGATACCAAAGTCCTTAACAAATGAGTGGATTAAGTGCTTTGGGACTTTAATTGCTTTTCTGATCGTGGGAGCTCAGGAAATGACCTTTGAAATACAGTAAGGTCACCTTGGTAATAACATTCTGGCTGTGGATTTCTGGGATCCCTTTATACAGTTCAAGATACTACAATTGAGATTGAGCACCCAGGCTGAGTGTCAGGTATTGTGGAATCTTCTGTAAAATATAAAATTTCAACACATTTACAATAAACTCTCTGTACTGAGTGTCACTGACTCAGACCACATTAAGCTCTTGTGTGCACCCAATGCAGAGCACTGTCAAAGCCCCATGCAGCCACCAGCCTTAAAATACATAAATTAGAACCCTTAGTAAGAACTGTCATGAAATCAATTAACCAAGAGCACCTGTCACCCACATTAATGCACTCTAATGTAAGCCCATATATTATTTTAGTGTATTCTCTGCAATTCTGCAGTCTTCTTCTCTAATCTATTTTTTAAAAATATGATTTTATTGATTTTATAGAGAGAGGGAGGGAGAGGGAGAGAGAGAGAGAGAGAGAAATATTGATTGGAGAGAAACATCAATTGGCTGCCTCCAGCAAACCATCACACTATGGATTTAGCCCGAAACCCAAGCATGTGCCAATGGAAGTGAACTGAGGACCTCTAGGTTCATGGATTGAGGCACAACCACTAAACACACCAGGCAGGGTCTAATGTATTTTTACTAGAAATTTAAATTTAGCTTGGTTTAATAAAAGCCCTATTTGAGGAGGTGTTAAAGAAAATTGATTTAAAGAAGACCTGAATAACAGTTACTGTGGTCCCCCCTTATACAGAAATAACCTGCAGTGGATGTCTGAAACCACTAATAGTACTGAACCCTTCATATATGTTTTACCTTTTTTTAAAAAAAATATATTTTATTGATTTTTTTACAGAGAGGAAGGGAGAGGGATAGAGGGTTAGAAACATCGATCAGCTGCCTCCTGCACACTCCCTACTGAGTATGTGCCCACAACCAAGGTACATGCCCTTGACTGGAATTGAACCTGGGACCCTTGAGTCCGTAGGCAGATGCTCTATCCACTGAGCCAAACCGGTTAGGGCTATATGTTTTACCTTATACATGCACATCTTTTTACTTAAAAGAAGTACTTTATGACATCTCCTTGGCATGTCAGAATTGCCAGCATAGCTACTC